AAACTGGTTCATGTCATAATTGAACAATGAGTAGTGAAACATTTTCATGGTGAACCCGTTCATTGATGGTGTAGTTGATCAATTTAATAGGTGAAGTGGAAAATGAAACGGGTGCATAATGTATTTGGTTTGTCATGAAATAATTGCATGATGAAACGGGTACATGATGAATCTGTTACAGAATCTTGAAGATTGTAATCTGCTCCAGAATCTTGAAGATTGTAATCTGCTCTAGAATCTTAAAGATTGTAATCTGCTCTAGAATCTTAAAGATTGTAATCTGCTCCAGAATCTTAAAGATTGTAAGGCTTAAAGGAATGAATTCATCAAATCACAGATGAAATAAGAAAATTAATGTACATGAAATAGGTTTCATGAAGGTGAAACTGGTTCATGTCGTAATTGAACCAAGAGTAGTGAAACGAGTGCATAATGTATTTGGTTCGTCATGAAATAATTACATGATGAAACAGGTACATGATGAATCTGCTCCATAATCTTGAAAATTGTAATATGCTACAGAATCTTTAAGATTGTAAGGATTAAAGGAATGAATTCATCAAATCAGAAGCGAAATAAACCAATCTATGTACATGAAACAAGTTTCATGAAGGTGAAAGTAGTTCATGGCGTAATTGAACAATGAGTAGTGAATTGGTTTGATAGTGAACCTCGTTTCAGTGATGGTGTAGTTGATCCATTTAGTAGGTGAAATGCAAAATGAAACGGGTGCATAATGTATGCGGTTTGTCATGAAATAATTAAATGCTAAAATGGATTCATGATAAAACCGGTGCGTTTTGAAATAATTTCATAATGAATAGGGTGCATATTTACATGGGTGGGTGAAAAACATTGAAACAATTTCAGGATAAAGAATAAAAAGGTTGCTGCATTAGCAAAATTATTTCCTAACAAATAGAAAATTTTAATTTCCTAAAATAAAGAATAATGTCCTTCAATAGGATGTTACAGAAAATGTATTTTTGTTTACCATTTTGCCCTCATTGCTAATATAAAAATAATTTTTAATATATATATTTTTAATTTCCTAAAATAAAGTTAACTAATTTTGACCATTGATAAAAAAATGGATGGATAAGATTGGTTTACACGTTTTACACAAATGGGAGCGGTTTTCATTTGAACGCTCCTCTCTCTCTCTCTCTCTCTCTCTCTCTCTTTATATATATATATATATATATATATATATATATATAGAAGATGATAAGATTCATCTATTATGATCACGACTTTAAATTGGAAAACAAAATGAAATCAAATATTTATTAGACTAGATGGACGATTAATATTAATTTGTATTGTTTGTTAAAATTGGATGAGTTGTAAATGAAATGTCCCCTATTAACATATACCATAAAACATCATTAAGATTAATGAGTTGGTTCATTTGTTAATCACATATATTTGATGCTAACTATATGAATCAATCATGACCTTTAATTTATTCAATCTATGGACTCAAACTTCAGTGGTATTTTTGTAATAATAGTAAAATGAACGCGTGCTATAGTGTAATAAACAATAGTGAACATAGTAAAACTAGAAAATACCAGCAACTTTTATTATGCACCAATTTCAGTTCCCGAGAATCTCTCCTTCAACATTTTGAAACCGAAATCAATCACATTTTACTTGTTCAATTATGAACGATTTCTAGTTCACTAATGAACACTTATAAACAAAAGGCGATAGTTATAAAAATTGTTCATTAATAAACATTTAACCAATTATTTATATATAAATGTTTCTGGTTCACGCATGAACATCATATGAACTGGGTTCATTAATAAATATATCATTCAAAACAATAGAAACAAAAAAAAAAATCATCTGAATCAATATGTTGGATGATACTCTGTTCATTTTGATCATCCATTATTAAAACTAATTTGAACATAATCATTAAAAATATTGAAAAAATTATATAATTATCACCTTAAAAACAAACAATTATTTTTTGTAACATCCCATTTAATACAATAAAGTAACTTATAAATGAAAATTACCTATTTACCCTTAGTCATTTACTCTAACATTTGAAGTAACTATGAACCAGTTCACAAAATTAACACCATTTTTTGTTTAGCAAAAGATAAGATTGATTATCGTAAATTCTAAAGGGTAGCTTAACTAAGTAAAACTTTGTGCGTAATTGCGGATTTTTCTAACCGTTAATTTGAAATATGTATGAAATTAATCGAGATAAACGCAAGTTAATCGGGTCATCTGCAATTTAAAAATAAAAAAATGATTATGATTCACATTTTTTTTCTAATAATTTTATTAAAAAGTATTTTGGTAATTAATTGTTAATTTATTATATTAAATGTGAAATTTAATGTGAATATATTTTATTGTTATTATTATTATCCAAGCAGCCTGACACTTGTACGTTTTGCATTGTAATTAAAACCTTAAACAAGAATCAAATCAAAAAACGTTATTCATTCAATTTAAATCATTTCCAACATTCTCCATATATGAACTTAAAAAAGTCCGTTGAAATCTTTGTTTACCCAAATTACCCCTCCAAACTCCACCATTCACCCTTCCTCCTCTCATGCACTTTCTGTCCTCCAAACAGATCCATCTCTGAACCATGCATGTGAGAGAGCTTTACATACATATAGGGGCAATTTCGTCACTAAAATTTCTCTCTAAACATAAATACTTCCATTGGTACCCCTCCCCCCCCCCCCCCTCGCTCTCTCTCTCTCTCTCTCTCTTTCTGCTGTGATTTTCAAGACTGTTGGTCTTCTTCTTCTCTCTTTCTCCTCCCTTTCTGCACTTCAACATCTAGAGAGAGAAAGCGATAGATACATACATATATATATATATATACAAGAAGGGTTTTTTTGCTTTGAAGTACTAAAAAGGAAAATGTGGTAGTGAAGTTGAAAGCTTCTTTTTTATAATTTTGAAATATCAAGAAATGCTCAGTTTGAGAATATTTTGAAAAATCAAAAAGAGAATTACAGAGAGATTTTCTTGTTTTCTCAAGCTTTTCTTTCAAAAATCGAGAATTACCCGGATGGGATTTTGTTGAAATATCAAAAAAAGAATTCCTTTTTTTGAAATTTTGGGGGAATTAAGGAACACCCAGATAGATGGGATTTGGTTGAAATTTGAAGAATTCTAGAGAGAGAGTAGAGAGAGAAATGGGGTGTTATTATTCAAGATTAGAGAGGGAAGAGATGGTTTCAAGGTGTAAAGCTAGAAAAAGATATATGAAGCAGTTTGTAAAAGCTAGAAATGCTTTCTCTGCTGCTCATAGCATGTATTTAAGGTCTTTAAAGAACACCGGCTCCGCCCTTCTCCAGTTCGCCACCGCTGAGTCCGCCCTGCACCACCACTTGCCACCAATTCACCCTTCGCATTCTCCCCCACGAACACCTACGCCACCGCCTCCTCCCCCACCTCCGATGAGTCCAACTTCTGAGACATGGACGACATCCACCGCCAACACCTCCTCCACTCCCCTTCCACCGCCGCCGCCGCCTCCTCCTCCGCCTCCATCATCCACATGGGATTTCTGGGACCCGTTCATGCCGTTACCAGAGAGAGCGGAGACAGTGCGCGATGATGAATGGGAAGAGATATCCACCACCGGCGCCTCGGAGACGGTGGTGACAACCACCATTGGGGCCGCAAGCGTAGCCGCGCCGCCTTCTGCCGTTAGTGGGTTTTCAAAGATCACTGTTTCCAACCCCACACAGAGCGAGATGCCGGTGGTGGTTTCGAGTAAAAGCAAGGACCTAATGGAAATCATCAAAGAACTAGATGAGTACTTTCTCCGGGCGGCGGAATCCGGCGGAAAGCTGTCGGCTTTGTTGGAAGTTCCGACTTGTACCTTTCCCGACCAAACAGCATCAGGTAAAATCCCGCATATTCTGTAATCGATAATACTAAATAAATATCGTTGGGCAACTTTTGAAAGATAGAATTCAAAGTCAAACTTTTCATTTCTAAAATCCAGGATTTGATGATCTTATGCTTTATTTCAAGATCAACTTCTTTTGTTAGTTTACTTTCTGTTGATGCAAAGTTAATGTCGTTTAAATTTGTTGTTAGTTTTTAGATATCTATCTCAATTTTGGATTTTTGAAATCGATTGTTTGACCATAAAAGTCCAATTTAAGAGAACACAAACTAGACAATTGAGCATTACTAAAGCAAATGCAATGTTATGTTTCAAAGGTAAAATTCACGGGTATGGGAAGAGTTTGAACCCGTTTTTCTGTTCATGGAGCTCGAGCTTGAGGTTCGTGAAGTTGGGTTGTGATGGAATGGACGGGATCGGTGCTGTCGATGGCGGGCATATTTCCGGCAGCCACTGTTCTACGGTGGAGAGACTGTATGAATGGGAGAAGAAGCTATACGACGAGGTTAAGGTAAACTTATGTTGATTCTGTAAATTTAAATGTCGTAATTCTCGAATGAAGCGTTGCCTTTCGGTTTATGTTCTAGAATGCCGAGAGTCTGAAGATTGAGCACGAGAAGAAGACGGAACAACTGAGGAAATTGGAGTTGAAGAGAGGCGATTACATGAAAACGGAGAAAGCTAAGAAAGAGGTCGAGAAGTTGGAGTCGAGAATGATGGTTTCTGCTCAAGCGATCGAATCAACTTCACAAGAAATCATCAAACTCAGAGAAACCGAGCTTTACCCACAGCTCGTTGAGCTTGTAAAAGGGTTCGTATCTTTATTTATTATTGCATATAAATTAGCTCCGTATATCGACTCCGAAAGGACCTGATATAAAGAGGTTGTTTTCGTGAATACCCGTGATCTTACTTCACGAGTCTTTCAAGGGTATATAGCTTATTGACCTACATCTCGCATTACCGTTACTCCAGACAGTAGAGCAGATGTTTCTGTGAATAGACATGCTTGTCTTTTAGGGGTATATATGTCAACGTCATAGCTTATACTACACTCGCATATATCTGACTTGGCCTTTATTCTAAATAGTAGAGCGGATGTTTCTGTGAACACATATTTTCGACTATTTTGTTTGTGTCCTTGATTTTGACTTTTATGGACCGTGTTATTGATTTTGACTTTGTGCAGATTGATGTGCATGTGGAGAAGTTTATACGAGAGCCACCAAGTACAAATGCACATAGTACAGCAGCTCAAGTACATCACTGCCCCCCCAGCCCCATCGACTGTCGCCACCACCGAAATCCACCGCCAGTCGACCCTCCAGCTCGAGCTCGAGGTCCAACAATGGCACCTCTCCTTCTGCAACCTGGTCAAAAGTCAACGAGACTACATCCAATCCTTAACCGGGTGGCTCCGGCTCAGCCTTTTCCAGTTCAGCAAAAACCCCTCGTCCCGAAACAAACAGGACTCTGCAATCTACACCCTCTGTGAAGAATGGCAGCTCGCGGTCGACAATGCCCCTGATAAAGTCGCCTCCGAGGGCATCAAAGCCCTTTTAACCGTAGTTAACGCCATAGTGATCCAACAAGGTGATGAGCAAAAGCAGAAGAGAAGGGCGGATTCCTACTTTAAGGAGCTAGAGAAGAAGACGATGGAGGTTCGGGGTTTGGAAAGCAAGTATGGGACGGGCCCGTATTCCGGCCCGTTGAGTCGGAAGACGGATCGGGTTGCAGATAAATGGGCCAAGGTGGAGGTGTTGAGGGCAAAAGCGGAAGAAGAGAAGGGAAAATATGAGAAATCAATCGGGATAACGCGGTCAACGACGTTGAACAATTTACAAATGGGGTTGCCGCACGTTTTTCAAGCAGTGACGGGGTTCGCTAACGTGTGGACTCATGCGTTCGAATCGGTTTGCAACCAAACCAAGGGTTTAGAGGAGGTTCATGATGTGAAGAGGCTAATGAACTAGGGTTTTGGAAGGGGTTTCTGCAGGGTGTTGTGTTGTTCTTATTTGGTTTTGTGATTTAGTGTGGTAACTATTGTATTTGTTGGTGTTTTTTTTGGAATCTATCTTTTTTAAAGTATATAATGTGTCATATATAACATAACAAATACTAGAACTTCTAAAAATGTGAGTTGTATGGATAATCTGAGGGCCGTTTACCTAAACGTTTATCTAGTAAGTGTTTACCGATAGGTGTCAACACTATAATTTATTTTGATGCATAAAATTTTAGTACATGAAAACATATCGATCGAATGTTATAATTTGCTAGATAAGTGTTTATCACGGTAATTAAGAGTTGTCATCTACGCTTACCGGATAAGACTTTCCATCATTTTCATCGCTCTTACCTGAAGTCTTTTTGATGCAATGATTTACATTTTGAAGTGATGTTTTAAAATTGCAAAAGAGGAAAGCTAAAAACAAAAAGAGAAACAATTTTATTTGAATGATTGGTGATAAGGAAGGAGTTAGTGGCCCCTCACGTGCTTGAAAAAGGTATGTTTTTATAAGGTTTATGAAGCATGGAGATTATAGGTTGATTGGTAAAAATATTAATAGCTAAATGTTACTTTTTGATGTTAATGTTATAGTTGAAATAGAAATTCGTTCTTTACAGTTTTTCGTACTGGTTTTTTGCTTTTCTTTTCCCAGTCATTTGTTTAGCCATGATTTTCTTTCCTTTTGCACTTTCAAATCCTCTTAACAAAGGAGACATTCGTTGGTTGGGTTTGCAAGGCTAAACAAATCGATGTTGGTACATTGTTGTATACTAGGAGACATGTCGTCATTCCTTACCTTTGACAAATATGAGACGATTTTTATCGTAAGGAGAGAGATTTAATCTCAACCCAACATTGAATTTGACTGTGGGGGTGGGGTGGGGTGGGTGGCGTTATGACGACGACAATAGTAGTATGGCGGTGGTGGCGATGACAATTTATGGGTGGCGTGGGTGGGTAGTGGCTGTCAGTGAGGGTGGTGGTAGTGTTGGAGTGGAGATGGCGTAGTGGTGGTGGAATGATAATATTAATTGGAGGTGAAGGCTATTTTTGTTTTTTTTAAAACAATATATGAAATCAATTACATTTGCCAAGAAATGAAATTAAATTCCTTGACTTATGCTTAGCAATGATCGAATCCTTCAGCCATAGAATTCGATGAAATCCAATATGCAAACCAAACGTAAGAATAAACTTTGGTCCATGGAATTGACATTCCAGTTCCTCTATATTCTGTTGGAATCCAACGAAAGAAACACCCCTTAATTGTTTAATACTACTTGTTATTTTCTAGTCACGTATCTTTTTATTTTCTCACTTTGTGTTGTGGTATGTATAAAGTATACATAGGGGCAGGTTTAATCGAAAACATAAGTTCCATAGTACATCATGCATCCTAGATACTCATGGTTTATTCATCATGAATAGTGTAAACATTCATCATGAATGTCCATGTTCATTAGTCATGATGGATATGGACAACCGGGATTTATCGCATTCTCCTTTTTCCCCCATTTCATAAACGAAAAAATGTTTGCAATTGAACTTTCATATATATATATATATATATATATATGTGTGTGTGTGTGTGTGTGTGTGTATGTGTGTATGTGTATGTGTGTATGTGTGTGTGTGTGTGAGATCATAACCAAATGAAAACACAACAAACATTGAGAACCATGAAAACCATTGACTATGTATTGTTTCACTTTGTGAAACAATATGTGTGAAAGCGTAGTGTTGTTTCACAATATGAAACAAAAATTACACATGAAAAACAATCACTTTAGGGAAACAACATTGCATTTTCCGTATGTATACAAGGTCCCAAATGATGTGAGGCATGTCAAGCCTCAAGCCTTACGAGTTAGGGCGAGGTCATGACGTTTTTCAAGGCATGTGTAAAGGCAGCATATACATATATATATATATATATATATGTGTGTGTGTGTGTGTGTGTATGTATATATACTTGTGTGTCGAATAAACTAATAAAACAATGGTGTAACCTCCAAGAACCTCACTCTTCATATTTTTTGCAACATCATTGTCATATCAACAAAATAATAATTTCAGGGATGACAATAGAAATGAACTGCAAAACATAGGAAAGGAAACTGGAATTTTCAAACCACAAGAACAAATCCGTAATTTTTCACAAACCATAGGGATGAGAAATGTAATTTACTCTAAATAAAGTACATGAACCAATTCCATAAGAAAATACCATTATCACAAGGACCAAAATTTATTTATATATATATTTTATCAGTTAAAATATAAATTAAATAATGCTGTTATTACCCAACTCATGTTTTTTCTACACAGAATTGAACTGCTGCTTCTATAGAAGTAAGTTGAGCCTTCCAAATCTTCAAAAACCGGTGGACCATATTCAGTTGATGGTCTAATTGTACTGATCTTTGGTTTGAAAAACATATTTGATTCAGCCGTGAATAAAAAACCAAAGCAGTTTTATCAATCCCGATCCTTTTTGGTCTGATTCTGACATCTCCCAACTTAAAATTATTGTGTTGAGTAACAAAAGTGGGACCATACAAAATACCAATTACAAAGGTTGTAATTTACTCCAATTAATAATATTATATAATAATCTTATACATCAACATCCTTCATATGCTATCAATTTCTTAGATAAAACGCTTAAAGTTTCCCCAGTTCGTATAGACGAATCGTTTTTCATAGATCTCATGAAACAGGCTGAACAAAATACATCGAGTACCATAACATCGTATAAAATGCTCATATGAAACACAAAACATAAAAAATGTCCTCTTTCATATCATATGAACGGTCCCATCAAATGCTTACGCGGTAATTGTTTACTTATAGGAGTTTAACACTATAATTTATTTTGATGAGTAAGATTTTAAAGAAATATGAAATGGAGTTTGTTAAACCAAAGAGAATGATAGGGATGGTTGTTCCAACCCCACTCAGCCAACGACTATCACCGGCCGCCCATTATTGCATGCACCCAACCTCTTTCAACCTTTCTTAATCCTCAATTCATTCATGTCCTTCACTCTTTTATTTACTCCCAAAATTCATGCTTAACATTTAAGATTCTAATTATTTTCAATAATGTTGGATTCTTATGAATGCACTCATTTAGATCCGTGAGACCATATTTTTACACTTGAAACTTCATAACAAAACATTGTGAAGGTAAAACAAAAATTGAACCTTCACTACAAAAACACTGTGAAAATGTCATTTACGCCAACTTGCTAAAGTGTTACTTGTCACGTCAACATTTCATTGCAAATAATACTTTCACAACTTGCAAAAGTGTTATTTTATGAATATTAAATTTATAAAAAGTAAATTTCACAAATTGTTAAAATGTTACTTGGAAAATCTTTGCTATTTTTGTCGATTAAGTAGAAACACAACTAGAAAATGAATTGGACAATTCCCTTTTTGAAGGAGTAAAGAGACTTGAAGTCTCTAATTTATATATAAAGGCGAAGGATCGTGTGGGAAACACAAGAACATATTTGAACCCTAGATCACTTTTAATCTCATGTTCACCTATAAATTCGCTTTATAAGAAAATTGATATGGTGTATATCAGTGCACCTCATTAGTGTTAACATTCAATAAAGACTGATCCAAGAGTGCAGATCTGTTCTTACATTTCTCACCATAACTTCCCTCTCATCGGAACTTAACCTTATAATATATATATATATATATATATATATATATATATATATATATATTATTTAAAATTTTATTGTTTTAGTTTGTTCATGTTGTACATAAGGAAAAAAAAAAGGCGTTTACAATTTAGAAGAAGAGAGAGTGATATATATATATATATATATATATATATATATATATACTAGGTTCGATCCCGTGTATTATACGGGGTAATTTGAAAAAATCAAATTATGTCAGGAACTTATCTTACAAATATGAATGATCATCGAAAGTACGATGTTACTTTAGACTTGTATTCTTGAAATAACTCTAAAATATAACTCTTCATACTTGAATTTAGAAATGAAACTATATCAATAATTAATTAAAATGAAGTTAACTCTAGAATTAAATTAAATTTAGAAATGAAACTATATCAGTAAATTAAATTTAAACTTAAAAGTAATTTAGAATGACTCTTCAGACTTGTACTTTTGAAATAACTCTGAAGTAAAACTCTTCAGACTTCAGACTCTGTATAGGCAAGCCAGAAGCTCTGCATGCATTATGTAGAGGCTCTACATGCACTATGCAAAGGCTCTACATGGTGCTCCGTCTGGAAAAGAAGGCTTCATAATTCGGATGAGCTAACTCTGAAGAATGGCTCTTCAGACTTGTAATATGGCAATAACTCTGTAGTAAAACTTTAAAGAATGACTCTTCAGACTTGTACTATTGAAATAACTCTGAAATATAAAATCAATTACACTAAATCAGAGTTTAGACATCTAAGTCTAAAAGAAAGACTTCAGAGTTCAGACTTCAGAATTTGGGTGAGCTAATTCTGAAGAATAACTCTCAGACTTGTAGAAGACTTCAGAGTTAAGACTTCTAAGTCTAAAAAAGAATATTTCAGATTTCTTTTTCTAAGTCTAAAACAAAAGACTTAAGAGTTCAGACTTCTAAGTCTGAAAAAGAAGACTTCAGAGTTCGGGTGAACTAAGTCTGAAAAAACAGACTTCAGAGTTCGAATGAGCTAACTCTTTAGAATGACTCTTCATACGTGTACTCTTGAAATAACTCTGAAATATAACTATAAAGAATGACTTCAGACTTGTACTCTTGAAATAACTCTGAACTAAAACTCTGAAGAATGATTTTAGACTTGTACTATTGAAATACCTCTAAAGAATGACTCTTCAGACTTGTATTTAGAAACGAAACTATATCAGTAATTAGTTAAAATGAAGTTAACCCTAGAATAAAGTTTAATTTAGAAATGAAACTATATCAGTAAATTGAATTTAAACTTAGAAGAGCGTATGTGTCAAATTTGAAGACGAAATCTAAAGACCTTAAGTTCATAGTTATTCAAATACCCAATATATTTGAAAAAGACCTCATGGTAAAGTTTGCATCATACAGAGCAAGACCAAACTAGAGCTCCTCTAACATCCAGAAGCCAGACCAACTAGAGGGGCTATTGCTTACAAAACTAAGTCTAAGTCTTAAAGACTTATCTTTAAAGTCTAGATAAGTTTATTACAAGACTTGTACTCTTGAAATTACTTTGAAGTAAAACTCTTCAGACTTCAAAGCTTGATATAGACAAGCCGGAAGCTCTGCATGCATTATGCAGAGGCTCTACATGGTGTCCGTTTGGAAAAGAAGAATACAGAGTTAGGGTGAGCTAATTCTGAAGAATGATTTTTCAGACTTGTACTTTGGAAATAACTCTAAAATAAAACTCTGAAGAATGACTCTTCAGACTTGTATTCTTGAAATAACTCTGAAGTATAAAACCAGTCCTATTAAACCAGAGTTCAAACTTCTAAGTCTGGAAAAAAAGAGTTCAGACTTCAGATTTCGGAGTTCGGGTGAGCTAAGTCTGAAAAAAAGACTTCAGAATTCGGGTAAGCTAACGCTAAAGTATGACTTTTCAGACTTGTACTTTTTAGAATTATAGAAGACTTCAGAGTTCAGACTTCTAAGCCTGAAAAAGAAGACTTCAAACTTTTTTTTCTAAGTCTAAAAACAAGACTTCAGAGTTTAGACTTCTAAGTTTGAAAAAAAAAAAGATTTCAGAGTTCAAACTCCAGAGTTCGGGTGAGCTAACTCTGAAGAATGACTTCAGACTTGTTCTCTTGAAATAACTCTGAAGTAAAACTTTTCAGTGAATTGAATTTAGAATAAAATGAAGTTAAACCCTATAATAAAGTTGAATTTAAAAATGAAATTATATCAGTAAATTGAATTTAAACTTAGAAGTAAACACCATTTTTTTGGGAATCAGTTACCACATGAATTAATTAACCAAAGAATAAAATCAATTGCATCCTAAATTAGTAGTATTGATTGAATAAGATGACACATGTCAATCAAATGAATATAATTGAACTGTTAATGCAAATTGTGTCTAGATACGTTCAAATGAGTCTAATTGAACCATTAATGTAAATTGTGTCTAAATACATGTTTAGGCGGGAAAATAAGATAACCGACTCACCAGAAGATGACACATGTCACCCAAGTTACTTATTTATTAGGTGTATAGATATAATAGTGCAAGAGAATTTTGAATATATGATGGTGTCGTAATCAAAAAACGTGTATGAATGAACATCGTTCACAAACAACACCATGAACACATAACTAAAGATTGTTCATTACTGAACAATAATACCAGATTCACAGATATGTTTATAAACACGAACATTTTCATAAGTGAATCAGATTAGAAAACTTGTGGGTTCATAAGTAAAAACTGAAAGAATGAACTACATTGAATGTTGTTCATAAGTGAACCTATGAAGAACACTTTAGACACGTTCGATGAAGGAGTAATTGCCAGGAAACGGGCTTGATTCCTTAAAGAACTCTCCTTGAAATTTTCCAAAAATACCCTTGTTCACTATGATTCACTTATGTTTAATACGTATCATAGATGAACGTATTACTAAAAATGCCACCAATGAATTTAATTCATATATCACAAAGATTAAAGGCTAAGATTGATTTATATAACTAACATACATTTTTTGGTTAACAATTGAACGAGCCCCTTAAACAGTGTTAACATTTGTTTGTAATAATTGAATGACTTATGAGACCAAACAATTGTAAGTCCTAATAAAATTACATATATTTGTTTGGTAATAATAGCCTAAAAATAGTTAATTGTTTGGTCCCATAAAAAATATAATTCTTTTTTTTAATAAAGAAAAAAGAATTAAAATATTCTTATGTAAGGATATTCAGCGACTTGCATTTGAACGATGTTAGTGATAGAAATCGAACTCATAAAAAAACTAAAACTGTAAAAAAAAAACTAATTGTATCAAAAAAGATTTTAATTATTTTTATCATAAACGATAATAAAGTAATATAATTTTTTTTAAAAATATATAGTTTTATTAAATCAAAAATATAAAAATACCAAAAAAGAAATCAAAAATTAAAATACTAAAAATACCTCTAAGTTAATGAAAGAGTTATAACATATCTATATTTATACTACCTTATAAACCAGATTTATCAAAAGTCTTAAACAACAACTTTTAATGCACAAAGTACTATACATTTATACACAAAGTCTTAAAAACAACTTATAATGTATTAAGTACTACTAATACCAATGCACATTATTACCTTTTGACACATTTCACTCATGTCTTCACCCTCTCATACCTCTATGGTTTCTTCTCATCCCCCAATATGAGATTTAAACTGATATTCATCATGAGTTATTAAAAGTTCTCTCATTCATCTCCAATTCAATTGCTCTAAAACTCTCGGTCTTGCTTTCAATCTCTTGATTCTTTGCTCTTGGTGTAAATTGAACACATTTGTGACATTGTTTAAATATGTTGGATTTTAAATATATTGGATTTTAAACTGTTATACAATTTTTTTCATCGATAGACTGTAATTGGAACCATAACTCTTATTCATTTAAATTATATTAATATGTAAAGTCTAAGTGTAACTTATATCATCTTTAAATCTTCTCTAATAAAACCAATAAAACTTCAAAATCGTTAAAATTCACGGTTTTTAACGCATTGTACAGATACACAACTAGTTTAATATAAATGACGAGAACAATAATAAAATTCAACAATTTGAATAAATTGTTGTTTGGTAACTGCTTTTTAGCAAATCCAATTTGGAGGGGTCCACAAACGTATTTTTATAACAAGATTAAAACAATCATCAACCCCATCTTCGTTGTCACAACAAGGCACAAACTTGCAGAAATTAGAATTCGGAGAGAGAGAGTTCATCTCCACCACCCAGCGAGCGATTCAACGGCATTGTTTACCGGCTAAAATAAGGTAATCTCTCTCGCTAGATGTTGATCGATCTCCAATTAATTAGGGTTTTCTGCTCCCCACATTTCTTCTTACGATTTCTCTCAACAAAAAACTGCACTCCTGTTATTCAATTTTCTCTAGGGTTTCTTTCTTAATGTTTCTTAAAGAAACCTGCAAAAAGTTCTTGTTGTTTGCTAAACAAGCGTCAATTGGCAGACGGGTAGGAAGAGGTGGAAAAAGAAGATAGTAGAAGGAGAAGAAGGAACAACGGGATTTCTTGAGTTGGTGTTTTAGTGGTGATCAGGTCTTCTGAGGGAAGAGAAGATCTGAGGCTCATTTGAAGAAATATGAGCGCTTCGAGGTTCATAAAGTGCGTCACAGTTGGTGATGGGGCTGTTGGGAAGACTTGTCTCTTGATTTCCTACACCAGCAACACCTTTCCCACGGTGATTATCTCTTCCTCAACCCCTTCCTTTTATTATTTTTTGGCCATTCTTGGGGTCTAATTCCGCATGAAGTTTTTGATGATTTATTTTTCTTCCACGCTCTTTGCTTTTAGGTGAAGAAGAAACCTCACATTTTGTTAATCTCCCTTTTCCCGATTCCAAATTAACGATGAATGCCATTCATGTTGTTTAATTGGATTTTGTTTGATATGTTCATGTATAATAGGTTTAAGGTATATATATATATATATATATATATATATATATATATATATATATATATATATATGCATATTTGAATTATGTATTTTTGCCGAGACAGAGATTGAATTTCTATAATGGCTTACATCTATCAACATTTTTTGGTCTTTCTTATGGATCCACAAAATGGAAAATGTTAAAAGGTCAAAACAAGTTGGGCCTAAAATGTTTCTGAATGTCTCTTATGTTTCTTGCATTTGGGTGTAGATGGAAGCTTACATTTTCATGAATCAAGTAAAAGAGAACTGTTTGCTTGATGATATATTGTTCTTTCATTTTGTAGAAATCATTCTAAAGATTGTTAGTGACTCCAATTTGGTTGTTTTGTTATTAGCCTGATTTTACATGATTTTGGGTCCCTTCAACAGGATGCAATAAAAGTTGTGGTGCATGTTTTAAATTCACCATTCCTTACAACTTTGCACCCAATTAAGAATCCATTCCCTCTTCTGCCCAGAAATGTGTATCCCATTATGCAGTTTTTATCATTATAGCAGGCAGTTTAGCATAAACTGTTTGCACATTGCATGATGCATTTCACAATGCTAGTATTTGATTGAACTGTTTTTGCTAGGAGAGTTTGAAATGTTGGATATTGGCCCTTGATCAATATGAAAAGTTTTGGAAGAGGGATGTTATAAATTGTTATTTTGCTACTTTTGTTCATTTGGGGTGCGCTTAGTATGTGGGATAGGATCGGACATGACAATACAACTTTTGTCCCATGTTTGGCGTGGTATTAAATTGGGACAGGACACGAACTGAATGGGATAGAAAAGTGGGATGGGATAAGATTGGTAAAGTACTAAATTACCCATGTCAAATTAAAACCCTAAACCTTCCAGAATTCTTTCACCCACCCACCTCACTCTCATCTGTCTAGTCCTGTCAACTCCAATAAAGTTAAATGTATCATTTGATTCTGAGAGATAGTATCTCTTTACATTGGAATTAAATCCCCTTGCTTTTTTGTTTTCTCGTTGTGGTAAACAGGATTACGTGCCGACCGTATTTGATAATTTCAGTGCCAATGTTGTTGTCAATGGTGCCACTGTCAATCTAGGCTTGTGGGATACTGCTGGTAACCTTATGAAATCTTGTCTAAGCGATTACTAATTTGTGAACTTTGTAATTTCTTTTCTTTATCATGTAATATATTGATGGTGTGAAATTGATATACTGGGAACAGGACAGGAGGATTATAACAGATTAAGACCATTGAGTTATCGTGGGGCTGATGTTTTCATTTTGGCATTTTCCCTCATTAGCAAGGCCAGCTATGAAAATGTTTCCAAGAAGGTGAACATCTTGTGATTCTATATCATTTTACACCCATTTTCAGTCTTTTTTCTTCTTTGATTTGCTTTTGATGGCTGCTAATACCTTGAACTGAAGTTCTCTTATCTTTCTTTTTTCAGTGGATTCCAGAGTTGAAGCATTATGCCCCTGGTGTCCCAATAGTCCTTGTTGGGACCAAACTCGGTGAGTTAATAAATGAATGATTTGTTTTAAGCCATAGAAATTGATGCTCCTGTATTTGTAAGCAAGCTGCTCCTTTCCTTCCTGGTGTTGGGTTGGAGAAAGAGGTTCTTCTTTCTCAACCTGCTTATGAGTTGCTGCCTCTTCTTTTAAAAGTTTTTACTCTCTTAATTGTTTTACTATAACTGCTGCAGTTAAATCTCACCATCCATGATTAGTTGTGCCTGTTGTGGATACTCTGGACCATAATGGATGCTAATGTTCTTTTTTAAATTTGAATGATCCCAATCGACATCATCTTAAGATAATTATTCTAATACGAAAGAACAGGTGGATTAAAGAAACATATTGTTTGTTAGAGCAGCTTTAGGTGAAAGATAGATCATGGGCCCCACTTCCTGTCAAAGTCCCCTCAATCTTATGAAATAAATCTTCTCGAAATTACAGAAATTGATAAGGTAAATCACTCTTTGTCACACTTCGCGCAAACCGGGGTCTTCATGAAAAAAACCGCTCTACACTTTGGGTTAGAGGTCAGGTAATCTTACCCTCCCCAGATCCCACCTCCAGGTGGGATATTCTGGGTTCGTTTGGTTTAGTTTGATAAGGTAAACCAATAGCAACCACTGAAACTACCACCAAAAAAACCACAGTTTCCTTTTTATGAAAAGGAATGCAAGTTATTGCACTGTCCTCTCCTCATGATTATTCTCTTAAACAAAGGGAAAACTGGCAAGCTCTTTGGTGTATGTCATAGATTTACTTAATTGCATAAGTGCAAGAGTGTGAAAGTTACATATAATTAAAAGCCATTATAGATCAAATTCATCGCGAAATGGTATTCTTGTTACTGATATTTTTATACCTATATGGGATATATGACCAGCAATCTTGAGGAGCTACTAGGAGTTGGTTACAGGTGAAAAAACCTTTGATAGTAAAATGTGTGTCGACCATGCTTGTACCTTATTAGATCCCATAAAGAGGCTATTTTTCGGTGTACTTTTCGTTTTCAAAGGATTCCATTGTGACTGGCTTAGGCGCGTACAGAAATAGATAAATAGGACTTTTTAATGAACAAAATATTTACTTGAATTTGTTTCGTGGAAAAAGGTAAAGTACAGATAATAAATGCATTTGTATGATGTCAATTGTGATGCATTTTGTATATGATTCTCTCTTCCATAGATGCTTTTAGAACCACAAATATGCATGGCTGACATATCATGATGTTTATACAACGTACTTAAAAATGAATTTATTAGTTTCTTTGAGGGTAATTTATTGCATTTGTATTAGTTTCTTTTAGGGTATTTTACTACATAGAAACGAATATGTTTATACAACTTATGTAAGATCCCACATTGGTTGGGGAGGGGAACAACGGTTTCCTTATAAGGAGCTTGATACCTCCTCTATCAGACGCGTTTTAAACCGTGAATCCAGGTGTCGGACAAAGCGGACAATACCTGGTACGGTTGGCTAGGGATGTTACAGATGGTATCCGAGCCGGGAACTGGACTGTTGTGCCAGCGTCCTCGCTGGGCTCCCAAGGTAAGATCCCACATTGGTTGGGGAGGGGAACAAAGGTTGCCTTATAAGGGGCTTGATACCTCCTCTATCAAATGCTTTTTAAAACTGTGAGTCCAGGGACAAAACGGACAATATCTGGTACGGTTGGCCTGGGATGTTACAATGCACCTATATGCATCTCTTCTAGATTTCTGTTTTGGCCATGTCTGCTCTATCTGTGAAAACAACCCCATGGTTATGCTAGAAGTCTACTGCTCTTCTGGAACATCATAGGTTTTTGGTGTTTAAAAGTCCAAACTCAATTACTTTTAGGTCTTGTCAATGAAGTTAGTAGTTTAGCAAATGCAACTGCACATGGACATGGATGAACTTGTACTCAAATAGACCATGAATAATGGAACTGTGTACAATGATAATCATCTCATGAAGCCAAAAACTCTTTATGCTCAGAAATTGAACGTTGCACCCTTTATTGGAATTACTGTTTTGCCCTGGCCTCTAGGTTTAACTTTAATTTCGAACTCGAGGAAGGCCATGTTCTTATTTGTATCTTGGACATGGTTACTTTCATCTAAACATATGCATGCTTGCTTTCTACCCATGTTCTGTTATGGCCATCTTTGCATATTGAATTGTGCTTCCAGAGTGTATAGTTTAATTCAAAACAAATTTGAATGTTGATGGATTATAGATCTTCGGGATGATAAGCAGTTCTTCATAGACCATCCTGGTGCAACTCCCATAACTGCTGCTCAGGTAAATATTTTACAAATAAGCTTATGCCTCAGATTGCGAGAAGCAGTAGCTTCAATTTCTTATTCCAAACATATATACATCTTTGAACCTATTATAGGGAGAGGAGCTACAGAAGACAATTGGAGCACCCGAATACATTGAATGTAGTTCAAAAACACAGGAGGCATGTATAATCTTGCATAGATTCTCCCGAGATACATATTTAGCAAGTTATTTATGTTAACATATTATGTCATTATTTATCTCAGAATGTGAAGGGGGTTTTTGATGCTGCAATTAAAGTTGTCCTTGCTCCTCCAAAATCGAAGAAAAAGAAGAAAGCAGGCCAAAAGGCCTGCTCTATATTATGATTGGAAGTGAGGTCCATGGAGAGACAGGTTTACACGAAATCTAGCTATGTTATTACCTTTCTGTCCTTTTTCGCCATCCCCATTCTCTCTCTCTCTCTCTCTCTCTCTCTCTTTCAAAGGAAGTCATCGAGGCTAACAATGATCAGCATCAGTTGGCTCGTCGTGTCTCCATCATCATCATCATCATCATCCATGATTACTTATCAGGTTTTGATTTTTTTCTTCTATGTATTACTTCGACCGGAGATCCAGATAGATTAAGAAAATCGTCTTGGATTCATTTCATCATATATTTGTTAATTTGTATTTCATCTTTCAAAACCTTGGAGATCTTTATGTACTAAATACTCCTGTAGTTGGCCAATTTGATGCTCATTATCCTCTTGATTTTTCCATACCAATGTTTGTTATTGTTTGAGTTTTGAGATTAGTGTCATCGTTTAGCCTCTTTGGCTTGTGGATTTTCATGGAAACAACTGCTCTAGGTGGGATATAATGGGCTTGTATTTATATCCGCACCCACCCACTATTTATCGTCACGATTACATCAGATTATTGTTTTCAACTCTCTTGGTATGGAATTATAGTGGATGGTGAAGATGTTGACACCCTTTATTCTCACTTTTGCCTTTCAATTTGAATGAATATGGAAGAAAGAAGTGACTGGATGGCATATGATGATGGTCCATTAGCCATTACTTGAAGTATCTTTTGGCTTACAAGACAGAGGCTTTTCGTGTAGTGTTTATATAAAAGGAGGAGAAGTATATTTGGGATTGTTTTTGGCAAGTGGGAACATATGCTCATCAATGGAGCAAAATCTTGATTCACTTCTTAGTGGAACATGTTTACTAGTTGGATCAAGGTGTCAACTTTTTTGTTCAATTAACACGGGTTGGTGGGGTTGGTCGGTACGCATATCATAAATACGTCTGTTTAAGCCATATATGATAACTCTAAGAATAACTTTTTTTTAAAAGATTATTAAAAATATTCCATTTGTTTAGGCCATGTAAGCCATAACCTTGTTTATTAAAGCTACTTGATACTAAAAGTAGCGTTTGTTTAATTTTTTACATTTTTTTCGATTCTATTCCAAATCCTACAAATCAAACACATCAAGGATTCCAAATCCTATGTATTCCGAACTCTCGAATACCGTTCCGTCAAAACATTCCAAGGGTTTTCTTCAAGATTGGGTGATTTGTGGTCACGAGTTCAATAGAGAATCAAGTGCAGTTGCATTCAAAAGTTGAAAATGGCTGATTTCTTCTTCACCTTTTTCTAGATTTTCAAAAAAACATCAATGATCTGATTTGATATATAATTTGTTACATATATTGATTATTTAGACGAAAGTTGATTACTAACAATCTTAACCGGTCTCACACGGAATCTGTCTCCATGGATACCAAAATGAGGGGGAAATTTTTGGCTCATTTAACAGTTGAAGCCAGCCGTTGGGAGGGATCGATCCCAAGACATGTCTTGTATTTGGACGAAACCCTTGAGCTAACACGCCGTGATGTTCAATATTAATGACAAAATGAAAAAAGAATGTGTCTGGTTTTCTGTATGAACAAATCATCAAAAATACATATGAAACAAATTCTTATGATGTAATAACAAAAGATTTTATATCAACAACGGTAGTAAAAAATCCAAAAATTCCACACCTTTTGCCAACAACTTCTGATCTTGCAAGATATAACTTTTTTTTCATCACCTAACATAAAATCAAATATATACAAGAGCATCTCCAACAAATTCCCTGAAATAAAGAAATAGAGATTTTGGGTAAATATTTTGCTTCAACAGATTACTTCAAAATGGAGAAAGTATGAGAGAGAATGTGAAATTCTCTTAATTTCGGGAATCCTTAAAGAAAAATATATTCCTTTTTGGTTTGATTTGAAGTTTATTGTATGGAGGTGATGATTAAGAATCTTGTTGCCCAAAAAAAACCATGGCCTTCAATGCTCCCCCTAGAATATGTACCTTCTCCACCAACTATCTATGTGTATATATAGACACATCTAAGTATATGTATCATTTCATATATCATCTGTAATGGCTTCTAGGAGGATTGTAAAAGAGCTCAAGGACTTGCAAAGAGACCCTCCAGCCTCATGCAGTGCTGGTCCTGTGGCTCAAGACATGTTCCATTGGCAAGCAACCATCATGGGTCCAAACGATAGTCCTTACTCCGGTGGCGTCTTCCAAGTTACCATCCACTTCCCTCCCGACTACCCTTTCAAACCCCCTAAAGTAAGTTCATACTCTTACGTTCTTTTGGAATCTCATGTCGGCTAGATTTGGACCATTTCTCAAACTTACCAAATGGTAATTGTCCCAACCGTATGTTGATTGATTAGTCTGCTAATAAATTGGTTGTTGTAGGTTGCCTTTAGGACCAAAGTGTTTCATCCAAACATAAACAACAATGGTAACATATGTCTTGATATTCTCAAGGATCAATGGAGTCCTGCCCTCACCATTTCCAAGGTTTTCTTTTGCTCCCCACTACGTCCTATAAATCCAATTTTGACGTACTGTTAAAAAAGCTAACAGGATCGTGTTGATCCAGGTGTTGTTGTCGATATGTTCACTGCTAACAGACCCGAACCCAGATGACCCGTTGGTCCCAGAAATCGCACATATGTACAAGATAGACAAGGTCAAGTACGAAGCCATGGCTCGGAGTTGGACTCAAAAGTACGCCATGTACTGAAAAAAACGTGCGAATTCGAGAAGCGACGATATGATCTATGTACTGTAACTAATAACAAATTCTTGTATGAAGTTTGATACCGAAAGAAATTACATGCAGGATGCTGATGTAATTTTGGATGTTATGAAGGTGAAGTTGTATCAGATTCGAATTTTGAATAAATGGATCTAATTTTTTTTCAAAGTGTTAAATGATATCACGTGTATTATTTGGTTTCTGTTACAGGATAAGTGTGTCATCGTCTAAAAGATATGATGAATTAGAGATAGATTATAACTAATATTTATCATAGCAATCTACTTGTATCTCATCTTTATTTAAAGGGTTTTTGATTAATGAGAATTACAGATTCTTTCTCGCTATTTTATTGTTGTTCTATTTCATTTATACTATAACACGTTATCAGTACGTATGCTCTATGGATGTTATCAAATCTGACTCCAAAACTGAATCGTTATTTTTGTTATAAGATAAACTCGTGTATGCTACAGTGCCATCGATTGAGCCAGGTACGTTTTTCGTTCTTTGACATTTTAATTATCAAGACTTGATGGCAAATCTTCAATCATATGTGTTCATGCTTGTAAACAACGACCAAAAAAAAGTTGTTTCTTGGATGCCGGATTTATCATAACTCTAGACACTTACCCGGTAAACACTTACCGGTAAGATTTAAAATTATTGTTTACTTACTGGATAAGATTTTATTCACTAAAACACATCGTATGCAACAATTTATCCCGGTAAGCGCTAACGATAGTAAGAGTCATCGTCCTCACTTACCGGATAAGACTCGATTATTGCCTTCGCTCTTACCGGGTAAGACTCGATTATTGCCTTCGCTCTTACCGGGTAAGACTCGATTCTTGCCTTCGCTTTGCCGGGTAAAAATTTTAGTCCTTGTCATATTCTTCGGGTAAAGTAAAGTGACTTGATAAGTGCATATCCGGATAAGCGTTTGGTAAACAAGACCATAATAATACTACAAAAAATAAATTATAATAAAATTTAGTGCATTGTTAATAACTTCTTTATGTTGTGAAAAAAAAAAATGCTTTTGTTTAATAGCAAGATTTTGGACTTGGCAAATTCAGCCCTTTAACTTTAAATTATCTTGTTTAAGACCTTAATTTTTTTTTCAATATATTATTAAATTTTACTTCAATTAGTTTAATTGCTATTATTATATATCAATGTAAGAGACTCTTTACTTGCGGCTTAATTAGGCTTATTGGTCTATCTGGCTTATTCGCACAACTCATTTAGGTTGTTTACTTATGGCTTATTCACACAGAACATGACTTAATCGCACAGATAAAAATAATGTGTTGTCTTCATTCAGCCACAAAAATGACAACCCTACTCCTTATTTAAAGCATCACCTCATTCCCATATGAGACACCCCATCTTCGGTCTCTTTATGATTTTTTGTTTTAATGTTCAAATAATTAATATTGGGGGTAAATCAGTCATTTATGTTATTCAGATTGTTGGTTCATATAAAAAAAGTAAACTACAACACCCATTTATCCAAACAGACAAATTTATCCATACATGACTTAATAAAAAATTTGGTAAACAGCCCCTAAGTTTGTTCACTCGATTACATTTTGAAACCCTATTATATTTTTATTAATTATGATATGAACTTAATTGATAATAATGGACTTACTATTATTTACTCTTGGGTTAAAATATGTTTTCATTAGACCAACAAACTATATGTAATTTATATTGGTTATTACTGATTTTAGCCATCTTGGGGTTGGGGTTATGCAGCAGGGATGGAACACAAACTTTCCAATAATATTATATATTTTCAAAAATACACTATTCAAAGTTATAACGTTAGCCTAAAACATGCCAAAGATTTCAAAACTTGCCACGAAATCCAAATCTCTCAAACATTTTGTCAAATCAGAACTGGTTTTTACATTTTCAATACTTTGATTTGACACAAAAATATTATAGCATCCAAGGTAGCTTTTACACACCTTGACTAATCCCATGGGACTTTGAAATTAACAATCATGAAAACCCTCCGGTAGCTCTAAGAGGACTTGAACTGATGATGTGCAGAAAACAAACTCTCAAGGCCTTACCAATTAAGCTATTCTTGATAGGTTTTGATGTAACCATTCTAGCCATAGAAAAACCATTTCCCATGAACAAGAATCAAAAGAACAAATAAAAGCAATGAACCACAAAAACACTACCATGATTTCAGCATCTACAATACCAAATTCTAAATCTCAAACAAGACAATTTCAGTAAGAAATTTACACCTCAAAAACCTCCTCTTCATTAGTTGTTGACCATACTATTACTATGAGCTAAAAAGACCCAGAAAGACAAACTTATACTRGCAATTCATGTAACTAAAGAAGCAAAGAAAGAAAAATAAACAGATGATGTTGTGACCAATACTCACCGTCATATACATCCCCACCATCATAATCATCATTACCATAACCATTCATTCCCTGTTCATTATCATAGCTCCATTCATGACCTTCTGTTTCACTATCATCATAGCCCAAATCCTCTTCTAAAACTTAACATGATATAAAGTGGCTTACCATGCCCAGAACTTATCTGTACAAACCCTCAACTCTTGAGAAATATGTTAAGATTCAATGTTCTTGTTCACCTAAATTTAGACCTAAATCACCTTAATTTAGACCTTAATTTCCACAGAAATGGTTCTAGACTTCTAGGGGTTGCTGTTGTATCTGTATCACTGTATGTTCTTGTTCTGCTTAGTGCTTATTGAAAATTGTTCACCTAAAGTGTCTATCGCCCCTGACCATCAATCAGCAACACAACAGTATGTTCTGCTTAATGCTTAGTTCTTGTTCTGTATGACTGTATCACTTCTTGTTCTTGTTGACTTGTTCTGTATCACTGTATGTTCTACTTAGTGCTTAGTTCTTGTTATGTATCACAATATTGTTTTTTTCTTAATCGTAGGGTTTTGATTTCAAAACAAAAAGTGCAGCAGAACAGGGGAGAAGACCAATGTCCAATCACCAATGGTTTAATTTTATAACTTATCTCTATACTCTACAGCTGGTAGGAAATTCATAACAGGTTAGGTTACAGAAGGACTTACCGTCGTCGAGAGCTCGCTGCCGAGGTGCTGCCGCCTGCTTGTCGTCGCTTCCGGCTTCCGCTGTCGTCTGTGTCGTCGCTGGATCAAGAGTGGATTGGAGAGTGGAGGGGCCGGTTGAATTTTTGTGTATACTTCAAGCATATGGACCAAAGATACTAGCCTATCGACAAAAAAAGCACAGGGGCCAGGGCCCCTAAAGGCCCATTTTAAAAATTGTTGTAAGGAATTAGTTAAAAAAAATATTCTTGAACCAAAGTTTTTTTTTGGGGACCCCTATAAATATAGCTCGTCATATTTATTGATTGGTTTCCTTATTTATTAGCGCGATGATAATATATATTTTTAAATTATTGAAGTTAGTTAAATGAATCGATAATCACATTTATATATTAAATTAATAAAAATCAATATTATATTTGATATATGAATCCACCTTATAATTATTGGTTGTTTTTTAATGTATATATATATATATATATATAATAATAATTTTTATATATCGATCTTTTATCATATCAAACTTTGTAATTGGTCCAAAATCATAAAAAAATATGTGCAAAAAATTAACAATGTTAAACTGTTTCTTCAATGATTCATATGTCACTTTATCCACACATAAAAAATCCATATGCCTACATAATTCCAACTATGATGTGAATGTATCCGACTAAAAAAGAAATATTATACTTACATAAGCAAAAACTCATATCATGATTTGTTTTATTGAATGACACCTCAAAAATAAACAAAAATGCAAATCGCATCCACAATTTTATAACTGAATAGAGAGAAAAAATTGAGAGATTAATAGAGAGATTATCATAGAGGTATACCACAAAATTATACATGAATAGAGAGGGAAAATTGAGAGATTAATAGAGAGATTANGATTAATAGAGAGATTATCATAGAGGTATACCACAAAATTATACATGAATAGAGAGGGAAAATTGAGAGATTAATAGAGAGATTATCATAGAGGTGTACCTCAAAATTATATATGAATAGAGAGAAAGAATTGAGAGATTAATAGAGATATTATCATAGAGGTGTACCACAAAATTATATATGAATAGAGAGAAAGAATTAAGTGATTAATAGAGAGATTATCATAGAGGTGTACTATGAAGAGAATATGAAAATTTATAACCAAATAGAGAGGAAAAATTGAGTGATTAATATAAAGATTATTATAGAGGTGTACCATGAAGAGAATATAAAAATTTATAACCAAATAAAGAGAAATAATGAGAGTTAAAAAAGTAATTATTAGAGGGAACATGAATAGGTTGAAACAACCTAATTAAATGATATTAAATGTGAATATTTAAAAATCAAAAACAAAAATTTATGTAGGAAAAGCTTGAGAAAAAAGAGAAAAAAGATAAAGTATTTTCTTGTTTTGAAAAGAGGCCACATCATTACATGTGGTTTCTTCTTTAATATATATATAAATTTATTACATTATTATATTAGGTTGTTATATTAGTTTAATTTTGATTCAAAATATTTTAATTTCTTTGAGGTATGATAGCTTTTATAGATATGATAGTATTTATCGTTTTTGAACTGTTATTATTATTTTTATTAATGCTTATCCAACTAGTTTACAATATTTGTATATGGTTAATTTAACACAATACCCTTTATTTATTATTTATTTATGTTAATATTTAAATCTTAATTTTAATTATAGTTCACAATCTTATAATTAATTTTTAGAAGTTAAACTTCCAACTCTCGTAACTTTTGGTCTTTTGCCAAAAGCTCCAAAAATTAGCATGAAAATACTAAAATATTATTCAAATGTTTATCTTGTTTATGGGTTTCTACTCATTATATTTAAGCTTAATTAATTTTCGAAAATTACCCCTTCAACCCTATATATCTGAGTTTTTTTTTTTTTTTTTTTTTTTTTTTGACGAAGCTCTCAAAATACTATTAAGAAACTAAAAGTTTAAATCTGACTTCATGTCAAAACCAATAGTTATTTGACCTCATGGTAAAATCTCCCAAAATACCATTAATATATTGTAGTAGGTTTGGCTTCATATCCCAAACTCATATTTCTTTTGGCCTCCTGCTAAAAGCTCCAAAAATGTCATTATGTTATTAAATTATCCGTATTCGATCTCATCTTTTGGTCTCATGCCAAATTCATTAATATTATCCATAAATGATTATTCACAAGATATCAAAAGGATTTTGTCAAACGGGTGTAAATAGTCCTAAGGTTTGTAGAGATTTAAGTAATTCATGTGGTTCTCCTACTACCTGGAAATCCAATAGATTGAGTGATTTCTCTAGCAAACTGAAATATTGATGAATTATTATCAATAAAATGTAAACATACAAAAAACCAATATTGTTATGATAAAATTTCATGTGCGTCATAATTTTTCTTCTTATGAACAAAAAAGGTCCATATATTATCCCTTATTTATGTAAATGGTTGCAACAATTCATCCGAGATTCGATGTCCTAAAGTCAAAAGAACTTAAGTACCATAGATGAATATCCAATGAAAATATTACTTTTGTCGGAAAAGTACAATAATATGCTTAAAACCATCAAAATCTATTGACCCTAAAAATCAATTATTAAGGTACAAGTAAATACCTTGAGATTTTTAAGACTGTACATCAGTCACAACTTTCATAGGTAATATCATTAACTAGAATCTCCCAAAATTGTAGGACGTCCTGAAAAGGAGAATTAAGAATATTCATGAACATATACTTTCCAAACTAATTATACAATGGAATGAAACCCACTTACTCACCTACAAGAAGGTAACTGATTTTCAACAAAGAAATGGTGTCTCAAAAAGCTTCTCAATCTTTGTGACAAACAACTCACAAGATGGCATGATGTATAACATTATTTTCACCTTTTATAAATCATTAAATATTAATGAACTAATATAAACTGGAATATAACATTTATACAAACTCATCAATCTACTACAAGTGGTTGAGAAATATAACAAGGTTCATTCGAATAATAAGGCTAGACATGTTGGAACTAAGAAAATTCCCAAGGTCAATGATGAAAGTGTTAGAGGTGAAAACAACTCCAAAGGATGGTGAGTTAAAGACAATCTTTTACATGTGACATCTATACACTATATGGATGAGACCATGGAAAGGATCAAGGTCATTGCAAGAGTCGAGAAGAATTTTATCATCCTTGGAGCAGAGATGCAACTACTACCCATAAGATAATGGACAATAAAAGGAAAATATAGTAATAATCGCTCATATCAAAAACGAAAACAAGTTGAAAATAAACTATATAATATTAATCTAAGATTGACTGAGCATGGTTTTATTTAAAATTTATTTTAAGTATTAAACTAATTTCATTTGTTGATGTAAAACCGAATATATAATCATTATAGATGTAAAGAAATACAAGATAACAAATATAAAACTCTCAAAATTCTCTGTTCCGTGTAGGAATGTATCAAGGAAAACTTGAATGTTTTTGTGGGACCTCCCACACAAGCTTAAAAGATAAACGAATATTTATTTTATAATTCATTCCACCATAGTACTTAGATGGTGGACTGTTATTTTCTTGTTAGTACAAGATTAATAGTCACTAAATCACTATATTAATAAGAACTTTGTTAAGATATTTGTATCAACTAGAAATGATATTACGAGAATGAAAATGGGTATATGTACATTAATTCTAATGAAATGAAAAGAACATATATTAGAGAAATAAATGTGTCAAACTAGTGGATTATTTAGGTCATTGAATCATATTTTGTTGTCAATCAAGAACTTTGGGACAATGACACATATATGTTTCAATATGACCATGTGGGACACCATGATCATGACATAATGATCCATGTGTTGCAAAATACACATCGACACATTTTCTTTCGAGTGAAATGCAAAATGAGGCCATTAACAAAATTGCAATTGCTGACTTCTACAGCACAAGAAGCAACATACCATTATAATATGTTCTCTCGAATACCTACAACTTTTGTAAACCATGATCCTTAGCCAAGACAAGAATTAGACCATCTTAAAAGCTAAGGATATAATACAAAAATATTTCATTCTTACAATGAATACAAGGTGATATTTATGGACATAAACATCCAGAATGCAGGCCATTAAATTATTTTATGGTTCTACTTGACGCATCGAATGTCGCATTATTGTCCACACGAAACGCTGCATTCGCAAAACTCCTAGTTTGAGGGCTCACCACCCCCATTATCCTATCAAGTCTATACGACCTCATAATGCTGGAGAATTTACATCGCAAGTATTTGATGATTATTGCATGTCTATTGAGGTCGATGTAGAGCATCTCGTATCCCATGTATATACACAAAATGGTCATGCATAAGCTACTATCAAAAGGATACAGATGATAGCCAGTGCAATGGTTATGCACACCAATTTACCCAATTCTGCATGGGGTTATGCAATATTACATGCAGCACTACTTATTTGCTTTAGACCCACTGCTAGCCAACCATTTTCTATGTACCAGTTAGTAATTGGATATGAGCCTGATATTTCACATTTATGCATATTTGGTTATGCATTATACGTGCCAATTGCGTCTCCACAATGCACTAAAATGGGCCATCAAAGATGATTAAGATATATTAGATATGAATCCGCAACAATTATCCGCTATTTAGAACCCTTGACGGGTGATTTATTTACCGAAAGATTTGCATGAGACAGTCTTTCCGTCGTTAGGGGGAGATAGGAAAAAGGATTTTCCAAAGGAACGACAGGAATTGTCATGGAATGTTCCCACTCTATCTCATTTTGATCCCTGCACTTCATAATGTGAAAGTGAAGTGAAATGAATACTTAATATTCAAATGAATCAGACTCGATATCTGATACGTTTAATGTTATTTAAGGAGTGACAATATCACATATATCAGCTGCAAATATACCTGTAAGGTTAAAAGTCCCCAAACAAGAGCACAACGCCACTGAAAAGTGTGTTGCAATCACACATGATAGAGGTGTGGTTGAGGTTGTGGCTCCTAAAAGAAAATAGGGGAAGCTACTTGGTTCGATAGATACTCATCTAAATGAAAAAAAAGAGTAAAGCACAACCATTGATAATCAATACATAAACCTCTCATGAGATTGTCTCTGATTAAAACTATGTCTATGAATCATTACTGAAAGACGCTCCGAAGTTAATATTAATTCCAGATATCAAATAAACCTCAAATAAATTATAAGAGTACATATGAATCGATGGGGAGATCATACGTACTCATTGATGATATATCATATATACTATTGCTCATAAAATGATAAAGCACAATGACATCGAACCATGCTTAATTAAAAAATTTATGTGAATAGCAAATATGACCTAAATGAAAAGAAACAATCCAAAAAAATTATACTACTTAACAAATGTACGAGCATTTGATTAAGTAATGCTAACTCACCAAATATAAAACATGTAGAACATAAATAAAATCATAAATTATACTATAATAAAGAAATTTATAAAATTATACTTAGTTTTATTCTGGTTTTTCCCTTAAATATATACATGAAACAACACCCTGATGAACTACTACATGATCATACAAGCCGTGGGGTTATCATCACTAAACGCTGTCGTATACCTAATCTCAGTGGAACTTGCTCGACCCAAATCGACGGCCACCGGATCTACGGCCGACGTGTCCCTGACGTAGCCAGGTGGCGCCTTCTTGTCATAAACTCCGGGAACGTAAGGATGGTCCACCACATCGTACGGCACGTATGGCCATAATTCCGCTTTCTTTCCTGTATGGTGTCTGACCCGATTCAGCACCTTGTTTGGATCCACGTAACCCACTACCGTCAGCTTGCTTTTCTTTGGATCAACGTCCACCGAACTCACCCCTTTCATCCCGGCCACCGACTTCCGAACCTTCCTCTCGCACCCCTCGCAGTCCATCTTCACCTTTATCTCCACCGTCTGCCACCGTCAAAAAAACACACAGTGAGATCCTATATATATATATATATATATAACAAAAGAGGAATGGGAATGAAGATGAGGTACTTGAAGTTGGTTGGTTTTTTTGAGTTTGTTCCGGGAGGCATGGCGGCTGTGACAGGAGTCGTAAATGTCGGAGAGACATGCTGCAACACCCATGATTCTGTTGTGTGTGTGTGTGTGTGTGTGTAAGTGTGAAGATGATGAGATGATGATGTAAGTTATGGTATCGGAGTGGAATTGAAAAAGGTGGGGTTAAAAACGGTGGATCTGTGAGGTTGAGCCACGTGGATTTTGAATGATCCACCAGGTGCTGGAAACTTCATGGTTATCATTTCAGGTCACTCGATTTGTTGCGTACCCAAAATTGCATTATTGTTTGGGTTTACATATAAAATAGTTTTATTAAAAGTAGTCTTTAACCTTGCTGGTAAACAAAAGTTTGTTTTTTAATGGTTTAAAAATTCTTTAAATTATTTTGTATCTTAAATCATCTCTTAATTATTCAATATTCTGATTTTATTATAAATAATTATATTTTATTTTGCATTGTATCATGAGAGTCTCTTAATCATCTTGTATCAAACCATTCAGAAACTGTTATCGAATATGTATACTACATACATGACCAATGTCACCACCAACCCAGTCGTTGCCTTCACCGCCGTCTTCTCTCCCGGTGATGGAGCCATATTGGAACAAGAGGGTGCATAAAAAATTTCAAAAAGAAAGATGAAAGAAAAACATGTAAAATGTGTGGATAAGAGAGACCCATTTTAATAAATAATTAATGACTTTTTTGTTACAATTTGTAGTTGTAAATCATGAATAGATTCATGGTTAGAGACCAAGATAGAAGATTTATAAATTTAATTTATTGAATTATATTGAAAAGATAAATCTGATATGATAGAATTATAAAGTTGATGATATAAATAAAGTGAGCATTTCTTAATTTATGGCCTTAATAGGCTGATTCTTGGCTCAAAACTAACATGTGCTATTGAAATGTTGCATTAAAACGTTGTAGAATTCATACCTTAATAGGGATGGGGATTTGCTCCGATTCGGTGATGAACTCGGTTCACTCGATCCGAACGGGGACAGGGATTCCCTGCTAAAACGGGTCCCGGGGCCGGGGGTCCCCGGTAGAATCAAATTAAATGATATTTTTTATGGGGTTTGACCGGGGTTTGATAGAGGTTTGACTGGGGACTGGCGCCGGACCGGAGATTACAAAACCCACCCCATCCCCGTTCCGTTGCTATGCCTATACCTTAATCTCACTTATTACTTGCTTCTTGGCACACTCAATTCTCAATGTTGCCATATTTAGTCCCTTCCCCCAAAATGAAGTAGAAATTTATCTTTCAAGGAATGGCACAAATAGTCCCCACTTTTCATTTTTCATTACATTTGAGTATATATTTTGAATATCTTCACATGTTTTTGGTATGCACGATCTTTATGCATGTTTCCTACACAGTGTGTAATAGAAGCATTTGTCGACAAAAAGATCATCTCATGGCCATTGAGAATGAATCAGATGTTCTACTTTCTGACTTGCTCCTATAAAATCAAGATCGAAAAAATTAAAAAAAAAATCATTCACAACCACTAATGAAGAACTCATCGTTGAACTTAAGTATTAGTAGTCTTCTTTTAGAAATCGAATTGATTTAGTCTACATACGTGAGTGAATCGTTTACAAACGCCAACCGCATAAGAGTCACCACCCCCACTTACCTTACCAGGTAAGATTATTAGTATAGCATAAACGTCTCTTACTCAGTAAGTGATAACCGAATGAAAATCACCAACCTCACCTTTCAGGTAAGATTCTCAATTTGCAAAATGACACAATAAGATATTGTTGGTAAAGACCACAATCTCTGACCGGGTAACAGTTGATAAGCATTAAGTTATCCAAGACAAGACGGTAAGTATTTAGTCAATGGTCCTGAAAATCCTATTTCTGTTTGCCAAAAGAAAAGGGCCAGGATTCATCAATAATCTTGATCATATTGCACTTAAAATTGTGAAATGATCACAATGCAGTGACTCCGAGCTATCTGCAAAACAGACGGTCGTCCTGGGATTAGTCGGCTCGCATACCAGGTTGATAAAAAAAATTGTGAATGGATCACATTTTGATCAATGAAAAGGCCCCACACCATTCCTGGAAAAATCCATACTATGCAACTTCAAACTGATTTAAGCCTATTTCATATAATTGCATAAACAAAATACTATACCACTTCTGTAGTTCGGGTGTCGTAATATCAAAACTTTCCATCCCCGCTTGCCATAAGAAACTAAAGGGCAAAAATATAGTATATGGGGTAACGATTAACAACCCCACTGTAACCAAAAAACGAAAAACCACACATACCATGATACGAGGATTGTGCTTTGAACATGTATGCAACTATGAACAACCATTTAAATTATCTGTTCATCAAAAGCCACTGAGCCCAGAAAAGTGTTTTTTCATTGCTTGATCCTTCCGATAATGATTACTCCTCCCCCCTCCTCTCCTTCCACCCCGCCCTCTGCCGCCTCTTCCTCGTTCACCAACAAACTCATTATCCTCCCCTTCATTCGACTCTGTTGTGGTTTGTTCTTTTCCAACATTACCCCTGCCCCATCCTCTCCCTCTCATGGAACTCCCTCGCCCCCCGACTTGATCAACATTATCATTTGATTTCATGGGGGCATTATGGTCTTTTCTACTATTACTATTCCTTCCATCTTCCCTCCTCGCTGAATTTACATTTCCCCCAGTTCCAGTAAGGTCGTGTCCACCATGTTTTCCTTCAGTTACTTCCATCACTTTCTTTGCTGCACCTAAAGGGATATTACCTCCACGACCAAGCCCATGAATCATTTCTTTTTGCGCTTGATTAACTATAGATGCTTCATTGTAATTTGCAGCAGCCACAGAACCTGATACCTTATAACTGTAATTCTTACCATCTTTGACGTAAAACTGGGGTTTTTGTCGTGACCCCCATCGGGAAGCATCTGAAGCCGAAGTGTCGGTAGAAGTTACCTTCTCGTTCAAATCATCCAGTCCTGAATCACCAACACTTAGACCAAGATCATCAAAAGAATCATCATACTCATCTTCATATTCTAGCAGTGATTGAAGAGCAAAATTCTTGGCAGTTTCATCTTTGGTATCGAGGATTTGAGGATCAGGCACGTTTGTGGTCGATTTCCTGATAAATCTTCCAACTGAAGAAGATGTTGAAGATGGGCCTTCAAGTTGTGGTTTGCCTACAAGCGGTACAACATTTGTGGGTGTTGGAAGTTCGACCAATATTCCTTTGCCTTTATCTTTTTGGGTCACAGGAGGAGTGGTTTTGGTTGGAACTACCATTAGAGAAGTATCAAGGGAAAGAAGGTCACTATGAAGGGTTCCCTCAAGAATCCTCTGGATGACTTCCTCAGGGTTGTGGTTATATACTTCAAGACAAGCAGAAATGAAGCCTTTACCATAATCAGGAAAGAGATCTTTTACTTGACTGATTTTTGATTCAATTATTGCATTATCTTCATCCATTTCCACCTTGTTTGTTGTAGATGGCAAATGCGGTATCTCCTTGCTCGCAGGAACTAACATGATTCGAGAAAGAAACTGCAACTGTTCGTTATCCATTGAGATCCACCCTATGCACCAAAAGGAGAAGAATATCGATCATATACGTAAGTACTAGTGGAAGTACAAACAAAAGAATGGTACATTATATGATTTATGCATAAAGCAAGGATGGACAATTCATTTACATCTTCCAAAGAAAATCTAGCTGAGAGGTCAAAGATGTCGCTCCATGACATAACTAATTAAAAACCAACTTGTCACAAATCTTATAGTTAAATACATATATATAGCAAATACAAATAAAGAGAACCGTTCTTTCTAAATAGTTTTTATTTTGAACAGTCAAGCCAGGGCATCTTGATCACAAAGTCGATTCTCTCTGTGAAAGTAATTTGATTCAGTTGCATGAGTCTTTTTTCTCCATACTAGATGGGTTGCAGCAAAAGCAACATATTTAGTTGTTACAAAGTAAATAGTTTCATCCATACATATATTCTTATCCCAAATTTTATCCCATATTTCAAAAGCACAGCTAATTTACCCTTCTCTAATTTTGTTTATTAATGCAAACACGCTCTTACCATTTGAGTTTTCATCTTTCTCATTTCCACAATTTGATGTCCTGTGTGCGACTTATTTTCATACTTTTCAGTACGTAAAATAAATTTGTACTTGATGAGTATATATATCTTGAGTTCCCCTATAGTGCAAATAAAAGGGATGTATCTCTCATTATATTAGATATCTTACCTTCAAAATATTAAAAAGAATTATTCACCCCCCCCCCCTCAATACCACCACCCATACCCTTCACTCCAAGACTGATTCTAACTATGCGACTACGATCTTCTTTTGTTTCCATCTCATGCATCGTTATGACATGGAAGGCAATTTGGCATTATTTGAATCCATGACAAAAGACATCTTTGTTTCCTGATGATTATGGTCAAGTTTGAGGTCCATACCTTCATTACATAAGAGCTCAAGTCTTCCCATCAAATGGTACTTCTTGTCAACACTTTGAAGCAACGAATTGACACTCCCTCCCTCTTTAACAGTTGAACATTCTTCGCTAATTTCCCGAAACGTCTGAACCAAAATGTCTATCCTGATGATCGGGTCTTCCACTTGGGCTGGAAATATCTTTGAGGCAGATGGAAGAGAATTATTCTCTCCAAACAATTCTTCACCTAGATAACATAAATTCAGTAATTTCCAACAAAAATCAACTATTCTAGATGATAACATCTTCAGACTAGTGGCAATGTTTGGCAACATGTCTGAAGAGGTCAATTGAGATCCATCTTTCTTTGCTGAAAATATTATTTTAAATCCCTGCTGCAAAGTTGGCAACAATGAATCATGCAGTCTTGCAAGGATTTTAAGCAATTCATCGCTTCCATAACTGCAACAAGAAAACCAACCGGACGTTCGTTGTCATAAACCATCGGAAGCAACTCTTGTACAATTTTTGGCTTTGTACTTTGAATAAACGACCCATACTAGAACCATCAAACATTGGCAAATGAACACCATACAAGCATAAGTTAATAATATATGACTGCATTGACAAATTATTTGTAAACGTGTAGACTAAATAACACAATAGTGTGCACAGACCATGCTACTGCTCAAACTCGGGCCCCTACAGTTTGTGGATGCTGCAAATTTAGATTGAGACTTTTTATACTTATTGTCTGATATTAGAACTATAACGCACTCTAAAAGGTCTGAAGTTAACTGTTGCCAAAAGAACTTAACAATAATGGTAATTATTTTGTTCAGCTACAACCTAAACCCAAGCAACAAACAAAGAAGACATCGCATGATCACTTTGATTGATCGAACGATTAAGTTTAAAAACTAAACAAATTACCCAGAGCGAAATGCTTCATCAGTTTAAATAAAAAGGACAGCCCTCTCCATAGATAGGTAAAGAACATGCAGAAGAGAACTGCACCTTGTTTCAACGGGGCAGGAAAAGTAGACAGCTGCATGCTTGTAAGCACTAACCAAAGCATCCATTGATACAATGGCATCATTTATAAAGTCCATTACCTAAAAGAAAAGGTAATATATACAAGTAAGCAAAAAAGAACCAATCACTATATTTTTCCCTCCAGGAAACAATATGGTTTCCCATGTCCTCCATGAAGCCACTCCTTCCTGTTATAATTTAACAGTTCAACTTAGAAATAATAATATGGCAAAGGCTGTCCTTTTGAATGTGATTTCCAAGAACAAGATCATTGCTAGGATAATGATGTAAACCAATGGCAGAAACCGCATACGCTAATACATTCCAATTAAAAATATGTAAATCACCTCTAGATAGTCTGTGTGAAGTCGATTGGAACCATCTTGGGCATCATGAGATGAAAATAGAACCTACACTTCAACCCAACAGATGAACGTAGTTAGCATGTAAGCAAAAAGGTCTGCATAACAGTAGTAACTGAAGAATAGATTTATGAAAATATATACACAAGCAGAAAGGCAAACATAACGTAACAAAAAAAAATATTGACAATGTAACTCTGCTTATGTTTCTTTCCTGATCATCCCTTTTTTATAGATCATTCCTTTTTTATAGATCATTAGAAATCAAATTGCCTACAACCCATTATTAAAAGTAGAAAAATGCAACCAAAAAGTTAAAAATGATATTCATATAGCCTAGGCAAGGAGTTACTTGTATGTTGAAAAAATACATCACAAATTGGTTCAACAAAAAGTTTTTCATTCAGAAAGTCGCTGCATATGCTGTGCCAGAGCCAAACAGACCATAGCTAATGTGCAAGTAACACTGAACATTGATGGAGTTCAACTTCTTATTTTTAATAACTCATAGGCAATGCTTCAACAAAAATAGCATAATAAAGGTTTCACGGAGAACTACCTCTAAAGATGTGCTGCAGCGCTCATACATGGTATGAACTATGTTAGAAAAATGAGAAATAACTTTAGTGAAACTGTCATGGATCATAGGCTGGACTTTTATTGCATTTGTAACCTGAGGGAGAGAGAAAAAAACTAATTAAATGCTGCAAAGGTGATTAGCAAAATAAGAGAAAGAAAGAAAGAAAAGTTATGAAGGGCAAAAGCAGACAATAAGGTATGCAGCAACTAATGTAGAAGCAAATGGTATGAGGTGCATAAAGGAAGACAGAAAAATGTTGGTGTGTTAAAAATATCAGCTACTTGAGTATGCATTAACTGAAGTATGAAGAATTTAAAACAAGGTACACCGATTGGAAACTAACAAAGTTGACACCCGAGACCAAAAAGTAGTAGTTCTTCTAAATCAACAAAATCGAGATGACGCACACTAAACATGTAGAAGTTAAACACACATTACAAATGATGAAACATAAATCTAAGTAGACAAAACTAGCATCCACCGGTTGCAGCATGATGGAAGATATCAAGAGGCAAATATAGCCAAATGGAGCCTATTGATGCAGGCAGATACTGCTTAGAGGTTTCAAGTTCAAAGTAATTGTACAAGATAACAGATTGAGCTCTTCGAGTCTAGAGACGCCACATAGGCACCACACAAACACTAGTTTAGTGGACCACTAAGAAAGCAGTCACCAAGGAAGACTCCAAAAGAACCCAAAATCACCAATAATGTTCTAGGATAGTACAGAGTTACTAATGATGTTCTAGGTCCATTCGTATTGTGTAGAAGGTTCATCATGCTTTTAGTATTCTGGGACTCACACGGTAGAACCTAGAAGGTTCTCAGAGTCTTCTTGGAAGGGCTAGAGCCTCCGATAAAAGGTCTCCCCCATGTATAGGCTTATAGCACCCAAGTGTGAGGATCTAAGCAAGGAGAGTTGATAAGAAATAAACTAAAAAGTGCCCACTAATTCACTTTTTAGTTTTCTCCACAGCATTAGTATCCAGGGTTAGGGATGGGAATGGACCCCGACCCGTCGGGTAACCCGGTCCACCCGCCCCGGTCGGGGACGGGGATTCCCCGAAAAATCGGGTCCCGGGGATGGGGACGGGGATCCCCGCTTGGCGCAAGCCGGGGACGGGGACGGGGACGGGGACGGGTATAGCACTCCCCGCCCCGCCCCGTACCCGTTTTTTATATATATATGTTTTGTATAAATTTGGACTTTGGGCTTTGGGCTTTGGGCTTTGGGCTTTGAAATAAAAAAAGTAAATGCATATGCATCTTCTCCTTCCTCCAATCCAGTCCATGAGTACAAATTCACAAATCACAATTACAATTTCCTTCCTGGTTCCCGCCTCCCACCTCCCGCATCCTCCCTCCTCATTGTCATTGTACGATTTCCTTCCCTAGTATACGAGTAAGACACGAACGTTGGAGTTCGGACGGCGCTTAGAGACTCCCTTTCCCGACCAGACTCTCCCTCTCCGGC